AAAGAGCTAAAAATAATTTTTTTTGATTCTCATCGATTTTTAAGGTATTCGATGGCTATACTTCGTATGATGCTCATAGGATTGTACACATCTGCGAAACTACTAACATAACTACACAGGTGCCTTGGATATTTTTTTCGGTGTTTTTTGTTACAGAAAAGTGAAAAAGTAACAACTTGGGTGCAGTTTGGCTCGGGGGGGCATTTTCACTTTCGCTACTTCTCATCGTCATGTTCATTGTATTGAGCTGACAGGTATCCTTTACAAGAGCTGACAGGTAGTCAGTGTAAGTTTTGACTGGTATCACTTCATGCTCTGGCTTCACAAGATTTCGCAGATCTCTACTTGATGGCTCCACACGACGATGAGAAGCAGCGAAAGTGCAGAATGCCCCCTCTCCTCCAAGGACTCAGTTTTGTCAACACTTCTTTCCAGTAATAGTAATTGTACTACTTTTGGTAGGAATAAGATAAAAACCACCTCATAACTCATCCATGATATGAAAAAGTATTGTCTTTTACGGTTTAAAATTCAAGTTCTTTCACCAAACAGCAATCGCTCTTGTAGGGATGATATGAAATGTTTAGGTCCGTTCTACAGGACCGTTTTTGACAGTATCCTTCAAAAGTAATGTCTTTGGTGGATCGAAGAGTGCCCTACAACGTGGCTTCACCATGAAGTACAGGACGTTCGAACGTGAGATTTTAATTTTCTCAAAAATTTATTACGGTTTCTCCCGCAGTCTGTGGTCCGTTCTGCTTTAGCGGACCTATTCGCTGCCCTTTGCTGTCGGGGTTTAGTGTTGTGGCTGGACATTCTGTCGGATTTCACACATTTCCCAATCTACCCTAATTCCCTGGCCCCCGGCAGCGAGATTTCAGCAGCGCCGAAAACGGTAGAAATCCCTCGATTCCGGGATGTTCACAGACATTTAGCGTGTAGTCCGCGCTGGTCAGGTGGGCGGAGTCAGGCCTGTCACAGGGCCTTCCCCATCGGCGCGCCTGTTACATGTTAGATAGGGGAGAGGCACCAAAGAGGAAGGTTGGGATCGCATTTTGGAGAATTTCCCCACGAGGTCTGGGTTATCTGCACCAGTCGGATCGGCCGGCGAAGCCGGCCGATCCTCCTTCCGCGTGTGAAGTGGGTCCCTGTGAGAAGTTTTCCATGAGAGGGAGGGCCAGTCGGATCGGCCGGCTTCGCCGAGCGAATGGTCGAAAAAATATTGTTTTGAGAATTAGCGCACTTTACCGTTTCACTTCTTGTATATACCCCCCCCCCCCTAGAAGACAGTCGTCAAAATTTTCTATGCGGCACTCCCCTCAGTGATGAGGACGCCCCGCCCGTCAGGGGTGTGCTTCACTGATTTCGTCCGCCAACTGATTGCCTATCATTTGCCACATTTTCCACTCTCCGGGCTCATTTGGAACCGAGTTACGAATTTTTGAAAGTTTTGTGGCAAGCACCGCCCACCTATAGAAACGCCCGCCCAAAGTGGGCGTGTCTCACTCGTTTCGTCCGCCAACCGACTGCCTGTCGTTTGCCACTTTTTCCGCTCTTGGGGCTCTTTTGGAACCAAACTACGAATTTTTGAAATTGACGATGACCTGCAGAGAAATACTGTCGAAACTTTCTTATTCCACAAAGTTAAATGCAGTCCACGCAGATCGTATGGGCGGGGTCACTCTACAAGACATCACATCACTCTGCAGTACTTCGACGATTTAGCCGATCGTAGCTGCGGTGGCGATATAACGAATGTGGACAGCGATTGGGACTTTTCGGGTACCATTGAAAGCCCTAACTACGGTGGATTTTACCCGCCAAATATGGACTGTTCGTGGCGTATCGATGCGATTGGTCCTGACAACTCGTCCACCACCGATCAGACTCTAAAGGTAAGCAATTTACGGGATTCCATACAGTTCGTCAAGGATTTTTTGGAGGAAAGGGCTACATTTGTTTGTTTTCAGCTCGAATTTCTATCGTTTGATGTACCATCAGCATATCAGCTGTCTTCGGTATGGCATCGAGCATTCGACGTTCCCAGAGAAGCGTTCGACATATTCCCTAGGCTTAATCGTGAGCTACTTCAATTTATTCTTCAAGAGCTCTCGAATGGGTATCATTGAGCGAATGAGCAAACTTTGAAGACACCATTAGCAACTAGCTGACAAGTATAATCTCTGCCGCGTGTTAGGTAGCTACGTTCCTAGGAGCAGAGAGTGTGCCTTTTGGTCCTAGAAAGGGCGCAGTGTTGTTGAAGTGGTGTGTGGAAGTGAATGGGTGTTGGAATTCGTGTGCTAGTGCCTGTCTGATTCCGTCTTTACAGAAAGTGCCCAGACGAGGAAAGCTGCATGGGGCGTTACTGAGCGCGTCTTTGTCGCCTGGAGCATTCGTAGGGCGATTTCACACGCTCTTCAGGGAATTGTTAGCCTATTAATTTTTGTTCGTCGCGCTTGTGCTCTGTGAGCATTTTGATATTCCAAACAAGAACAGCTATAGGAAATCAGCAAAACGTGCTGAGCTGAGGTGGGGAGGAGGGCTATCGATTCGCCTTGACAGACTGTCGAGTTGTTCAGCAATTCTGAAAAAGTCGTCCATACGCTGGTAAACTCGTCCAAAACAAATAGTGTCGTATTCCGAACATTTCAGTAGCTTCTTTTCCTTTTTCCTTTTTTTTCTGGAGAAAGCTTGCACCTACAATTCCGTTTCCAAAGCTCTATACCTACAATGTGCAACGATGGATGGTGTCTTTAAGGGCAAAGTTCGCGTTGATCGTATGGGTGTTGTCAGGCCTAATATTGTGCCTTCCTCAGTGGTGCACGCTTACATTAACATTACAGAGAGGAGAGGCGCACCCAAGAGGAAGTCACAGTTGTAGGCCTGATTCCTTCAAGTGATCAGCGCCTGCCCTTCTATTATCCTGCACTCTCTCAAAACACTAGCGGCAGGCGTCGATCGATACTCGCCTATGACTGCGTTCCAGTTTTGCATTAGAACGCTATTTTAATTAGCGCGTCTACGCGCGTCATCGCGAAGTCTGAACGCTGTCTTACAAAGGGTTTTCTTGTGCATGGATGAACGGTTTCCACCTTTCGGAAGTTAGGCTAAAATAACGCCCTCCAATCTCAATACAGGAACTCTTAGTACCACTCCGGTCTTGCGATATGCATGACTTCCAAGACCTTAATTGAAACCCTATTTTAGGCCGAATAGAGATTTCGTTCCGTCGTCGTCATCCTAGCCTACCGTTCTTCAGGCAAGCGATGTATCAGTGCTCGGAAGATTATCTGCAGGTTGGTCTACCGTCAGACTATTGTTTCTATAGCAGTCGCACAAAAGATGAGTATCGATTAGTTCCCACTTACTTTCAGTTATACGCAGATGGCCAAC